TTTTTTTATGAGAAATAATATTTTTTAATAATCCCTTTTTCATTCGACATACTTTATCTTAATTAGGATATTAATAATGAACTAGCAGATCATGTAGCTTTTGGAATAGTCCACCAATTTTTTAAAATTAAACAGTATCTAAAGATTTGCATCGAAGCGTTTTTTTTTTATAGTGATTTTAATCACTGTCAGATATCATTATACTTGATCCATCTATACCACGTCACCACTGTGATGCGATCCCCCTGTGCTGGGTTTTTAACTTTATAATGCTATAACTTTTTGAAAGATGTATGGATCAATATAATTCTTTTTTTTTGTAGATGCATGATGTCATTACCTATTATTTGGTATATTTTTTTTATAAATCTGACTTTTTACCTGCCCACAGGGGGGGATTCAAAACGACAACTTTTTCAACTTAACTTTTGAAAGTGTTTCGGGAATACTAACACTTTTATATATATCTTAAATTAAAGCTATTGTAATATACTTTATTATGAAAAAAAAAAAAATTTTGGACTTTATTTTGTCTTCGCGGTTAAAATGGCTACCGAATGCTATTTTTGTGTGAAAATTCTCGATTTCATATTTTACATTTTTAACTTTATAATGTTATAACTTTTTGAAAATTGTATGGATCAATACAATTTTTTTGAGAAATAATATTTATATACCTCTTTAATTTGACATATTTTTTTTACGGTTTCTGAGACTGTAATATTTGGGTCTTTCACGCCTGTGGCACTAAATTTTTTCTTAATTCTTTTTGAGTTAGGAAAAAATGTTTAACTCATTTGATTTTTATCTCATTTAGATTCAATAAATATCAAGGATCCCATTACTGTAGTCTCCTCTCGTGAGAACAAATTCATATTAATATTATTATACTATGTGGTTTCTTTTTGTAGCTATCATTTATTTTCTCAGCTCTCACTTATCCTAATTTTTCGACAATTTTTTTTTTTTAATTAAATACTATCTACAGATTTGCATCGAAGCGTTTTTAACACGCTTATATTAGTTTCACCTGTATGTATGTATGTA